TGATAGCAAATGCATGCGCTTCTGATCCAATTTTCACTCCCATAATCGTCATTATCTTCAATTTCGGTATAAAGTTGTCATTAAAAATACACAGCAATAAATGTTACAATTACAATGATCTGAGATCGGGAATGCGTATGGTTTGTTAACACAACCCTCAGCTTAAATAAATCTATTTTGACTTCTCTAATTTAAAATACTGGATCATGCCAAGTGGTCTGAATAATTCCACATTAAATGCTATTTATAGGACAAAAATCTTTAATTTTGTGAATAGCAATCCGAAATGAAAAAATAAAAAAGATTATCAATCTGCAATACTGTCACAACGTCTGGAAACACGGAAAAGTTACAGAAATATTGTTTTTCAAATTGCGACTGTCTAAAAATAAAAAAATATTGTGAGCCACTTTTTGAACATTTTTCGACTTTTTAAAAATAGTAGAAATAAAAATTTGGAAATGACCGTAATTCCGGACGTAGACAAGTCCTTAAAGAAGACTCTCTTAAAATTTCAAGTAAATCGGTTCGACAGGTACCGAGAAATCGTTGGTATCGCGTTAAAAAAAACAGTTCTGAGAAGAACGAGCTTAAAGTTTCAAGTAAAAGTTTGGTATTCTAAGTCATAAAATTATATTTTTAACTTACGTTTATTCAATCTGTCATTCCTGCTGGATATATCGGACCTTCAGCGACTTCGAAAAATACGATTTTCGGCGTTTCTGTCATCTATTTGAGCAGTTCTAACCTCCTTTGTATTCTAAATACTCTGGACCAATTTTCACTCCCATAATCGTCATCATCTTCAATTTCGGTATAAAGTTATCATTAAAAATACACAGCAATAAATGTTGCAGTTGCAGTGATCTGAGACCCGGAATGGATATGCTTTGGAGCGAAAGTCAGACCCGGAATGGATATGCTTTGGAGCGAAAGTCTATATCAGCGAGTTTAGAGACTCACAACTACTTTGAGGTTTTGAACCCAAACATCGAGTCAATAACTCTTCTGATGATCAACTTCGAAGAATTTGTCGAAGAATGGACATGATGGAATGTAGCGTCGACTATCGCAATTGCATTGTAATGTAATTTTGAACCCGAGTCCGCGTTGAGCTGTTCTTGAAAATCTAATCTCGTTGTTGTATGTTGTACACGAAACAAACGAAGAAATTGCTTAAAAGACTATGAAAAACTCCAAAACACAGTAGCAGTAATTATTATCTATTATCACTTCTTCATCATTTTATTTCCTCAATTTTGCTGCTAATGCGCTCGTAAACCGGTGTTTTCCTATTCCGTAAACCTATCGTCGTGAACTATATAGATAGATAGGTAGATATAACGGAACAAAAAGGCTTACTAAGAAATATAGATTCAGGTAGACAAAAAATATTCTCTACAAATGGTGAGCAGAGGCGTTGTTGCACCCACAATTGTCACAATCAGCACCATTTGCAATCTCATATGTCGTCTTCCTTATTTTACGTATTTTCTCTATCTTGTTTCAAGTCAAAGCCTTAACTATTAAGACTGCTTTAGGCCAGTTCACAAATGAATCTGTACTGAATCTGTCCCAGTTCTTATTAACTGGCTCAATCAAAATCTGCGTTTCTCACTCCTTAATATTCTCCTTCCCAGTGTGCCAGCAATTAGAGTGAAATGGACTTAACAGATTGGGTTTAGCTTTATCGCACCTCCGAAGGACACTTATTCTATTTACTTGCTCCATTTAATTGTCACTTCACTTGAACTGGCCATGTTGCATCCGACATCAATTTCAGTAATTATACTGAGTCATGGAGGACACATAATTACCCTTCTGTTAAAAGCACTAAGCCACTCAACCAGGAGTTCTTAGATGAGGTTCATGTTGCATGTTTAGTGAATTCTCAACTTCTCAAATACCCTTATCACACTTGGACACTTGTTTACTTCCTTATTGGAATGATTTCAACAATACTTCTCTACTTTACTCAATTAGCTGATGAATTCGCGGCTTAATCATTGATGTAGGTAGTTTGAAAACATTCTTCTTTATAAACTAAGCAACAATTTAATTGCTGGTAAAATCAGGTCTAACTATTACTTAGCTTTGGATGTTCTTATAGTTCGACTTTCAGCTGCAAATAGGGAATCTCAGGATACAGGCATGTTCAATCGACCTCCGATTCACCCCAAGCCAAAGGTGGCCCCAGGAGGTACTGCAGACCCTCGAATCATAACACCAGACTACTACACCGATTGACCACCCTTCGATGTTGATCATCAGTTCACGCCACTCGAATTTATTCAAAGTGGTTACACGACCAATGTCATGTAAACATCAACTTCTCATCATCCATCAACTCAGAATTTCATTATAATCTTACTTTTGTTCAAAATTTCTGGTTCAATCACGAAGTCAGCATTACATACCATTACTCATTCATTCATTCATTTATTCACTCCTCCATTCAATATCATAATTATTCAATAACTAAGACGACACTACAATGCAACTATCTAAATATAAAGATGTGGTTAGAGAGAATGGTTTAGGATAAAGCGTGGTAAATGGAATATGATCACTGTTTTTGATTTTTTCTCTCAGCAGCTTATAGGGTTTTTACATTCCTATATCTCAGCTGTTTTGGGTGGCTCTCTGTTTCCGATTGTGTTTATTGATGACTGTGAGTCCGAAAGTATTACTGCTTTAGTGAATTTCGTATCCAGGCAACGAAATTGGCCTAGTGCTATCCTAATTGCCTCTCTATCTGCTTCGAAAGTGGATCTATTGTGTCGCTCTACTGCATAGAAAGAGAAGAGTTCAGAGTAGACACCTGCACCAATGGTTGCTTGGTTTTCTATGTATGACCCATCAGTGAAGACTTGGAGCCATTGATCTGTAGGATATTTGACATTGATTGTCTCAATGTCCAGTGAGTGTATTTGTTCTGGAGGGGTGTTTGCTTTCCTGAAGTGGTCAAGTGGTAGGGTGCAACACACTACATCAGTGTCTGCTAATGGGTTCATGGGTAGAGAGAGGCATTTTGATTTTGTCATCGATTTGTAATGCTTTCTTCAGTTCCATGGCTTTCTGTACTAGACCAGATTGCGTTTTCAGATGTCTTGATCTATTTTCATAGGTGCTGAAGAACTTATCCATGGGAATGCGCAGTAGCTTTTCATACAGGATCAAGGCCTTCTCTTTGAGAAGGGAACATATTGTGGTGGTCCCGGTAACCAGAGGTATTGCATCAATAGATGTTGATTTTATCCCTCCAGTAATTAGTCGTCAAGCCTAGATGTGGATGAGTGGCTCACAGTAAAACAAAATTATAAGTTGAACAGACATCCTGTAAGTGGTGATTGGGATTGAGCGTGCACAGCCCCATATGCTACCAGCAAGACGCTTCAGTACATTCAGTCTATTGGTTTATTCTAGGGAAGTATCCTGTTCTTTAATTGCGGGTTTTTGATGTGGTGGGCCAATGAAAATGTTTGCAATGTAAGTTTTGCGGTGTTGAAACCCATTTCATTGTTGTCGCACCAGTTTGCCAATAGTTTATATGCATAATTTAGGGCACTTTTCGTTCTCTCCTGAGCGCTTTTCTTATGGGCGGAATACCATAGAACAAGATCATCTGCATAAAGTAAGTATTTGATGTCCGTGACTGTCTGTACCAGTTCATCGACATCTTCGTCGTTTTCGTTGTTTTCTCAACTGGTTCTCAGAGAAAATTTACCTATCTATTTTGACTACTGGCTTTTTCATCTTTAAACGTGACACAATCAGCACCATTTGCACTCTTTCATGTCCATTTCTAATTTCCTATATTCTCTCGAACTAATATCAAATAAATTTTCTTCTTAGTTTTAATCAGCCAAAATGACTAATGAATGTGNTTTTACCATTTAAAGAGTTTTGCATGGAACGAAACAAATGGTAATCCGAAGGCGCAAGGTCAGGGCTATATGGTGGGTGTGACAAAACATCCCAACCCAGTTCCAATAATTTTTGCCGAGTAACCAAAGATGTGTGGGGCCTTGCGTTATCATGATGGAAAACAACACCCTTCCGATTTGATAATGCCGGCCGCTTATCTTCAATTGCATCCTTCAGTTTTTCGAGTTCTTCAACATACACATTTGAATTTATCGTTTGGTTCTGCGGCATGAGTTCAAAATACAAAATTCCTTTGTGATCCCACCAAACTGACAGCATAATCTTTTTTTGGTGAATCTCTGCTGCTTTTGATACTGTTTGGGCTGGTTGATCTTGCTTCACTCATGATCTCTTGCGAGTAACATTGTTATAAACTATCCACTTTTCGTCGCCAGTAACTAGGTTCTTCAGAAATGGATCATTCTCATTGCGTTTCAGTAGCGAATCACAGATGCTAATCCGTTGCGTCAAATGAATTTCCTTTAACTGGTGAGGGATCCATAAATCAAGTTTCTTGACAAAACCAAGGGTTTTTAATTTTTTTTTCAATGCATCTATGCGACACATTGAGCTTCTCTGCAATATCTCGTGTTGTGCTGTGACGATTTGAATCGATAATGGGCTTGATATGGGTTTCATCCACTTCGACTGGGCGGCCAGATCGTTGTGAATTTTTCAGTGAAAAATCACCGGAACGACATCTTTTATACCAATTTCGACACTGCCTTTCTTTTAAGGCTTCATCTCCATATACGGCACATAGCTTCTTTTGTGCTTGCGATGCGTTCTTGCCTTTTCGGAAGTAATACAATAAAATGTGTCGGAAGTGCACGTCCTGTTCTTTCATTTTCGAATTGGGATAAAAACAAAACTAAAGGACTAAACAAAAAAATTTTGTACTAATTAACCTAGAAGCCCATACAGTAAGAAAAAATATAGGTTGGATGCTCTGGTCACGTTAACAAAACAAAAGAAAGTATAGAGTGAATCCGTCAACATAAATGGCGATGACTTAGTTGCCAACCTAATAATAGTCTTGCAGTCCGATACACAGTATAGAAGTTTAGATAATTCAGCTTCGTTTCCATGGAAAAATTTTCCCTTTAATTTTACTTCAAGTTTGGTCAACAGAGTTCAACGATTCTTCAAACAATTGAAAGCATTTTATACTACTTTGTGAACAGCCCTCTATATTCCTGATTCTATTTTGGCCTACTCTATAATGTCAAAATTAGTTCATGGCAAGTAATTTGAATTCTTTGACATTAAATGCTATTTTCCACATGCCAAATATCTATAATGTTGTGAAGATTTGAAAATTTCGCCAATGTACAGCATCTTTTTTAATCAATTAAGGATCTGATTATCCCCTCTCTGCCCACGTGGTTTTAGTGGTCTAATCACAGTTTCGCAGTTATTGGCATTTCAGTGGAAGAAACCCAATTTTTATGAATTTTAATTGTATATTTATTTACAGCTTCTATATTATTCGGCTTCATTAGATACACCTAATTTCGGATACCAACGAAATATATTTTCTAACATTAATTAACGGTCAAAAAGTGGCAAGAGAGATCATTTTGTGATAAATGTGCCAACGGTCGCGAATACCAATCAAAAATTTTATTGAATGATCACTCGATGTCATTTTCGATTACACCTTTTCGAATTTCACAATCATGTCATTAATCTCAAGCGGCTGCTTTGTCTTGAGCACAGTATCGACATTTTGTTGTCTTCTCAAATTCTCCTCAGAGAAAATTTGTCTGCAGATTTCGACCACTGTTGTGATTATCCTTAGACTTATCACAATCAGCATTATTTGCACTCTACCATGTCTAATTCTCAATTTATGTCTTTTCTCAAACTACTTTCATGTCAATTTTTGCTCTTTATTAGAACAACTGAAATGGCGATTGAATGTGACTCTAAGACACTTTCTTACCTCCATTATAAACACTTGAGGCAGAGGGGATTAGGAGATTTAATTAACCATCTGAGGGTTGGCCACTTAAGGCAGAGGTTGATCAGTCTAAAATGGTACTTCCTACTGATACACAGCAATATGCTTAATTGTACATTACAGGTTAGATAATTTAGCCCACCATTTTACCATGATCGAATTTCGAGAAAATGGAGTTTTGGCATTTCCCCTTCACATGCCATTCCAAAACTAGCTTCAACACGCTTTCTTTAAGTAACATCTTTTTATATTTTAGCAAATATTTTTACTCCGGGAAAGATGATATAGAGCAATGTATACATGGTAGTTTCATGAAATACTGCATTCTTTTATTATAATTATATGCGAAATGAGTGAATTACTAGTTTTTACACTCTGAATATGTTCCTGTCATTAACAACAGCCTAAACTTGTGAATTCCTTACCTAAAGTGTTGATATCACCTAGTAGAACGTGATACACACTTGCGCCAACTGCAGGCTCGAAGGGTTTGAGTGCACTTCGATTTCCTAACCCTTATGATAAATGAGTCAAGAATCTCTCTTTGTCCTTCACAGTGGCATCATATCCCAGTGGTTTTAAGTAGATCCTATTACAGTAGGATGCTGAGCACTATTTGCCGAAATCTAATCATGAGTGGCCGCATATTTTCAAATCCCACTTAAGGACGACGTTTAGTTTGTCGGTCTCTTTATTCAATTGGCAGGCTGATCTATTAGAAGTTAGTTTCACTTTCTTATCCAATTTTATCGTTCACGTCACACCAATAATTTCCCATTCACCTAATCCTTCTTATTGTTGACATCTTTTGGACTTTATCACAGGAACCTACAAACTCCACTTCTACTCCTACGTCTAAGGGTTCTCTTCCCTCCCCCTGCGCCCTCCAATTGGCGATTTCGTAATCTCTCAGCCACGATCAGTCAACCAGGTTAGGAGTCTACCATGCTTATGGGAGAAGTGTTTAGTCAAAACACAGTATCAAGTGCATTCTACTGTAGTACTCGCCTCATTCCAATTAATTTTGTACATTCGAGGGAACTAGAACTCGAACGCTGCAGACCAAATTTCAATGATTCAACATTCTTTCAACCATCCCTCATTTAGAAAATCTCAAGCAATCAACAACTGCATCACCGATAAAAAACGTAACAAGCACAACATTACAACAGCTCACAACTAAATACTAGAATTTCGAAAGTATATTGTATTTTTAGCAATGCTAATCAACAATTTATTATAATTCTTCAAAGCGAATTAACACAAACATATAATTAAAGTTTTTGGAACAAAGTGCCACCTTTTAGGGAAAGAAAGAGATGAAGAGTCGATTGCTTCAGGATATTGTATTCAGTAATGGTATGTCCATCTTCCAGCTGTTTACCAGCAAAAACGAGTCGTTGATGTTGTGGAGAGATGCCCTCCTTAGCCTGAATCTTCGCCTTCACGTTCTCTATCGTGTCACTTGGCTCAACGTCAAGTGTAATTGTTTTACCGGAGAGGGTCTTCACAAAAATTTGCATACCACCACCACGGAGACGCAATAGCAAGTGGAAGGTGGAGTCCTTTTGAATGCTGTAGTTGGAGAAAGTACAATCATCTTCCAACTGCCTGCCACCATATATCAATCTCTGCTCTTCTATCGGGAATCCCTCTTTATCTTCAATCTTCTTCTTCAAGTTCTCAATAAAATCATTATCTCCAACTTCGAGAGTTATAGTTTTGTCAGCAATAGTTTTGACGAAGATCTGCATTTTCTGAATGGAGTAAATACAAAGCTAATATCAGTTAATGGTTCTTAAAACTTTCTGTTTTTATACTCAATTCAATATGCTTCCGTAACACCCTTTTCACATATTTCTATTGGTTGAAAATTTCTATCCTTCGACTTTCATTTCTCCACATTCCATCGTGTTGTTCACAATAAAGGCGATGATGTGCTAAAAATANATTGTATTCAGTAATGGTATGTCCATCTTCCAGCTGTTTACCAGCAAAAACGAGTCGTTGATGTTGTGGAGAGATGCCCTCCTTAGCCTGAATCTTCGCCTTCACGTTCTCTATCGTGTCACTTGGCTCAACGTCAAGTGTAATTGTTTTACCGGAGAGGGTCTTCACAAAAATTTGCATACCACCACCACGGAGACGCAATAGCAAGTGGAAGGTGGAGTCCTTTTGAATGCTGTAGTTGGAGAAAGTACAATCATCTTCCAACTGCCTGCCACCATATATCAATCTCTGCTCTTCTATCGGGAATCCCTCTTTATCTTCAATCTTCTTCTTCAAGTTCTCAATAAAATCATTATCTCCAACTTCGAGAGTTATAGTTTTGTCAGCAATAGTTTTGACGAAGATCTGCATTTTCTGAATGGAGTAAATACAAAGCTAATATCAGTTAATGGTTCTTAAAACTTTCTGTTTTTATACTCAATTCAATATGCTTCCGTAACACCCTTTTCACATATTTCTATTGGTTGAAAATTTCTATCCTTCGACTTTCATTTCTCCACATTCCATCGTGTTGTTCACAATAAAGGCGATGATGTGCTAAAAATAGTCACCCTGTAATATGTGTTAATATATTCTGCAGTTGACAGGTACGAATTCTGATTGTAGACTGGTCAACCTCAGTTAGATGCCCAATTAAATCTCTTGAGCCCAATTCATTTCTTCAATGTAGCACTTAACCTTTGAAACATTTTTCTCACAAATATGCAGGTGAAAAATTTTACTGAGAATGGTTCAAGTCACTACCAGTTGGAGGAATAATAAAAAGTGTTCTTCCGAGATTTCAATTTTCTCTTGAATCTTGCTCTCTCTGGAGGTAATCTTCCATACATAAGTACATTTCGATACAATGATTTTAATCTATAATTACTCATTATGCTTGATTTAGAGCCCTAGATCCTCCTTCATCGATACCACAGAAACTTTGGTAAAATAAAACGCCAGGTCTTCTTTTTAAAAATTGGTTAGTATTGTGTCTGGATTAGATCATTCAAGAAAAATTTCACAAATTTCACTCTAAAAATAGCAAAATACTAAAAAATAATTCAAATCAAGAATATAATTTCAAAAATGCAATATAAGGGGAATTAATTTACTCTTAAAATTATTATTGGCATTAAATTTAGAAAATGCATAACTTCATCAGGTTCATTCAGTGAAAACATATTTCTCATTTTCAAACATTGTCTATGTAAAATATTTCTTGAAACTGCATGTTAGATAGCATCTTAACTAATAAGTGAGGTCTTCTTTTAGCTCCTGAAAGAACAACCTGAACAGAACCGAAATTTCCACATTGCAACAGTGTGGAAATAGCGTAATTTCAGTTCCGTTTCTATGAAAACCTCTAAATTTCTATTTTTCCTTTGCATGATTTTCCATGTGCGGTCGTCAGGATTCACTGCTTCTTCAAATAATCGAAAGCATTTTTTACCACTTTGTAGACAACCCTCATTAACCTTGAATCAATGTTGGACTACTCTAGTCCGAAACACTATTTCATTTCAAGTTGTTTGAATTCTTTGACTTTAAACACATTTGCACGTGC